TTAATTCCATTAAAACCAATAACCCGATTTGTCGGGCAAAAAAAATCGGGTTTTTCCCACCCTTGCTCTTGAGGCCACCGCGAGTCATCGTCGGACGCCCAAGGGGAGAGAATTTTAAGTGACCCCAGAATCCATCTCAATCCCCGCGTCCGCCCTGGACTCGAGTAATCTCTTATTTGGCCATCGATCGCCCGCGCGCGCATGCCTGTGTGTGCGTGTTTCTGTGTGTGTGCCTGTGTGTGTGTGTCTGTGCATTGCCCTTGCAGTACACACAGACAACTCGTCACCTCCAAGGGGTTTACACCTGGTAACAGAGATATATATATAGAGACAGGGCAAGGCAATTAATGTAAGTCATCATCAAGGTGCGCCTCCATCTAAAGAGGGTCACTGGGAGAGAGATACAACGCCACTGCTATCGCACTGAGAGTCCGGGAGAGGAAGACGTCGAGTTAGGATGAACGCGCGCAGGCTAAAGACGCACAGTTCCTGGCGGCCAAGTTAAGCGACGCGGGGCTTGGGTTCGACACGTGACTAAGAGGTTCAACGTTGGAGCAGCCACGGGAGAATGGAACGAGCGCCCAGAGGACGCTCCCCTTTGGGGGGGGAGATGGAGCGATTAAATCAGCTCGTGTGCAGGAGGTGCTAGGCGGACCATTACATCGCAATGAGTCGTAGTAATCATTATGCTGTCGAATTGTAACGGCTGTGCCGCAGCTGCACAGCGTTCGCTCCTCTCTCTCTCTCGTACAGAGAGGGGAGAGGACGACTCAGAGAGAGGGAGGACGACTCAGAGCTAGAGGACGACTCAGAGAGAGAGAGATAGAGAGGACGACTCAGACAAAGGGAAAGAACGACTCAGAGAGAGAGATGGGACGACTCACAGATAGAGAGATTACTACTTAGAGAAAAAGGACGACTCAGAGAGAGAGAGAGGGGATGACTCAGAGAGAGAGAGACGACTTCTCAGAGAGGTTGGAGACGACTCAGACACGCAGGGAGGAACTACGGACGAGCGGGAAGGCGGCAGCACCATGAGCGAGGCAGTGAGCCAGCGCCAACTATTACCCAAGCTCTGCAATCCTCTATAGATGATGATGATGCCAATCAATGAGTGTTTACTTGCGGAAGGAAACCGGAGCACCCGGAGAAAACCCACGCGTGCGAGGGGGCAACGCTCTATCCCACACGTATGGAACAGATGGAGTCCACATTTGATGTACGGCTCCTCCTCGTCGTGCCACGGGAAGGGAGTTCCACAGGGCATCTCTGTGTGATCCACTAACGCTCGCTGCCGCTGCTTCCACAGTGCTGGAGTACAGGCAGGCACGTGCACGAGGCACCACTGGTGGTGGCTTCGGGAGGTGTTAATCCAGCAGTGGATTGACCATTGTTGCTGCTGCTGACGATGATGACGGTGCTTCGCGTTGTTCGTCTGGTAAAACATAAATCCATATCAAACTGATCGTGATAAAATGAAATAAAACCCTTAACCGTTGGTTAAGCGTGAGATAAGTCGTAGTTTTGGAGGGCAGGGGGGTAATGAGTCGGGAGAGATCCCAATTCCCCACGTGATAAATCCACGGGAAATCAACGCTGATCGATATTCGGTGGTTCGGGGTCAGCCGTGTTTACGATGGGGTCAACCGGCAAACGGAATGAGGCTGCCGTTGCTCAAACTTCACGAGTAAACGAGGGGCTCAGGCCGACACTAAATTATTTTATTTAGTTTTATCACGTAAGGCCCCACTGAGCGATACAGCTCCTCTTTAGAAGCGACCATGGGTATCGCAAACGATAGCCCCACGAAGCGGCTTATCGTGCGGAAATGTTTAGCAGCAAAGTGATCTAAACGCGTGCCGTTGATTCTAAACGTGGCGGTGCGGGGGAGGGGGGACCGGAGATCAAGAAGAAAAATCGATGCGACCAGGGGAGAGAAAGAGACACGCAAACTCCAAATCTACAGGCGTTCAGAGTCGGGATCGAACCTACGCACCTCTTGCACACCAGGAGCGATATTTCCTGGGCTGGGAAGAAATGTGAGGTTCCTTCGGCAGCAGCAGCAGCAGCATGAAAATCATCGTTTATTATTTATACCACGTCTCCCACGCTGTGTCAACCATGGATACGGTTCCTGTCAACTTCGCTCCTTGATTCCTCCACCGGTGAAGAAGACTCAGTCTCTAGCAGCCACCGACCGTTTCGTCTCATCCACCACCCTGTGTCCACACACCACGACGAGCAACACCGCAGCCTACAACAATGTCCTCACCCACTCTCACCTGCTCGCTCATCTGTCCACTCATAGACCCACTCCTCGACTCGCTCGGCCACCCACTCGCGCCATCAGATCGCTCACTCGCTCGCTCGCTCACACACTCACCCACCACATCACTCACGCACTCACTCACCCACTCACAACTCTGCAGGCCGTAACACTCCTCTGTCTGCTTCTCCCCTCGCACCGCTCCACTTCGCGATTCCACTCCCATCGTTCGTCACCCCTCCCCACCTCGCTCAATGCGAGAAACGAGTTACACTCTAGTATATCACAGTGTTTGACGGCGCCGTTTGTTGCCGGCCGCTCGGCATTGTCGACAACTGTTGTGCCTGTGCTCAGGTGGCCGTGTAGAGCTACAAAGATTAACAAAGATTAATAACTTATACTCTGACTATCGTCGTTTATTAAGGAGGGGGGGGAGCCTTCCCGACTCACCGCAATCCCGGTTTTACTCGAGCCCGGCTTGGAGAGGTTTTTGCTACGCACTCCAAATGAGCTACTGGAAGAGGAGGGGGGGGGGGCAAGGGGGGATTGAACTCACCGGAGCGAGCAGTGCACCACGCTGTGTCGGAGGGTGGTCCCCCGAAGGACGCCGCAGAACGACGTCTGAAGTCACTTTCAACCCAAAGTCTCTTTAGCCACATGAGGTGCACCCTGCTTTTAGACGCCCTGCCAAAAAAAAAGTGTTGGTCGGACGTCGATTAAACGGAGATGCTTATTTCTCTCGCCTGGAATGAGCTTAAATGCATCTTTATTTTTTGTATCTGATGGGTTTTCTTCATGCAGTCGACAGCTGGGCTACCCGATTCTTCCACGCAGCGATTGCTCTACCTGGTATCGGTTCGATTTCTCGACTACCCGCGGATAACACCGAGAGAGTTGGAGGAAAGTATCACCCCCAATTTCTCACGTGCGCCGCTCGACGGCAGGTGATGGGCGGGGCTTGGTGATGTCACAAGAAGTCACGTCACACTGGGGGCGGTTTGTGTGAGCGGTTGCCATTGGAACACAAACACGTGCTCGATTATGATTATTATTATTGTAATAATAAGTAGTACTCTTATTTTACCAGCAAATTCTCATTGAGTCTTAATACTTTCTTTTCAGGAGGGATCCTGCCAGGTTTCCGCAATAGGAGGCGATGTTACTGCCCCTCTGTGCAATCCTAATCGAGTTGTTTGCGATGCAGTTTGTCAGCATTTGGATGTTTAAGGCCGAACACAAGGTGCATTGTATGGAGGAGGTTTTGATGAGCTGTGGCAAGAGAACCCGGGGAAAGCCGTGCAGAACAGGGGGAGAACATACGGACTTCACTCACGTGCTCACTCGTCACGCACACTTCACGCTGCAGAGCCGCACCTCCGATTCGCAACGCTGGCTACGTACGGTGCGAAATACGTTCAACGTACATACATAGAGAACAGGGGGAGAACATGGAAGTTCCACACAACCTCACACATACTCACTCGCTCGCATGCTCACTCACACTCCCGCCGAGCAGGGGAAGAAGATTCAAACTCCAACAACAACCGCCATTTGCCACTAGGTGGCGGTGACGTCACCACGACGCTTGTGCCAGGCGATGTGCACCTTGAGGCCACGTAAAGTGTCGAAAGCCCTATGGCAGGAGGTCACGGGGCAGACCCAGATGCCACGGGTCGACTGACTGAGATAACTGGCTGATGCACCACCTGTGCCCCCTACTGTGCCAACTTGCTGCGCTTTAGCCACCCGGCGCGCCACTCGTTGTTGTGAGCGTCGGCGCTGCGCTACGAACCTGGCGACCCGAGTTCGATTCCCGCTCACGGCCAACACCCATTGATGATTATCTGAACCGGTCCTGGGCCTCTTCTAGGTCGACTCAGCCTCAAACGAGTACCTGGTGCGGTGTGTTATTAAACATCGCCACACGGGAGACGAAGGCGGCCGGGCGTGGTGCTGGCCACCCACCCCCTCGTGTGCCGTGCCGGCCTTCATAGTTGCCACTCGTTAACAGCACTTGCTCCAACAGTCTGTTACAGGCTGCACGGGAAACCTTCGTCTTTGTTTCGTAATGATCGATCGATGAACGCAAGCGAAGACATAAACAGGTCATCTATGGATTTTGGACAATGATGAAAAAAAAACAGTCGCAATAACGCAACTCAATTCTCTCTCAAGCGAGTTTCCACCGCGCAAACTGAACCCACGAACATTTACACCACGGCTGCACGCTATCGCGCGTGCGGTCTAACACATTGTTTCGTCGAATTGTAACTATTTGTTCTGTTTCGCGATGATTTACCAATATGTATTCAGTTCCCGCCTTACTAAACAAAAACCACGCCCCAGCGAGATGGGGTGGTAACGCCGTCTGTTGCAAGTCCCTGGAACCGCGACCGAACAAGACCCCCCCCCCCATCACCCCCTCTCCCCTCACTACCCCCCCCCCCCCTCCGGCTTGGTGCTATCGCGTAGCGCAACTGTGGCAAGGCAGACCGATGCGTCGAGCGGAGTGGCTGCCTGGGTCTCTTGCTCCCTCTCGCTCTCTCGCGTGCTGCTACTCCGCTGTTGCATCCTCGTAGGCCTGACGCTTGGGCGACAACGCAGAGGGTGACAGGCTGCCTGCCTGGCTGGCAAAGCTCTCGACTCGTTGACCGAGTTTGTCCGTTTCGTCTCGAAGCCCTTCGAACCGCTCAGACCTTTGACGCCCTGTGACCACCCCACCCTCACCCCGCAGGTACCGAGTCCTATCGGCGCCGGTGTTTGCAGCGCTTCCAGCCACGCCGCGGTCTTTGTAAGTACGCGGAGCTGTTTGCGAGTGTCCACAGTGCAGCGAATGTGGTGTCGCCGCAGCGTAACTCGACGCGATTGTCATCTTCGGTGAAAACCGCGTGCGTGACCTTACAAGGAAACGTATATAGTCCGGCGACGTTTCGGGCAATAGCCCTTTTTGTCCTTCCCCCGCAACTCCGATTGACACGGTTGGCTACGTACGGTGCGAAAGAAATTCAACACACATGCATCTCAAATTGTTGGAGTCTGCAAGGCTCTTTTTCTTTCTCAGGAGCACAGCGTAACATGTGCTATGAAGAAGGGCTGTTGCCCGAAACGTCGCCCGTTATTTACGTTTTGTTCCCCTTTAATGTCACACCCACAGCGTAATTATTGACCAATGTATTTTGTCGTTGTTGCAGTTAATCGTGATTTGCGCACCGCTGACAAACGCAGCAGTATCAGTAACATGGCCCAAGCGTGTGTGTTTAATACCGCAGCAGAGTGCCACAGGGCAACAAGGGCCGAGAGTCGCGCCGCAGCCGCAAGGTCAGATTCAGAGCGCCTCCAGGTCATCGCTGGGCTCATTCCGCCACCGAACCGGTTGCAGACGCCGACTCGGACGCTGACAGCCGCAAAAACGGCGTTCGGTGATAGCGAATCGTAAAAAAAAAATAGCGCCTCGCCCCCCTTCCACGCACGTCCTTGGACACATTTGAGCTGCGTTTCGAACTCAGCATGGGAAATGTCAGGGCCCCCGTACGCCGGCTTAATTATGAGCCGTGCACAAAGGAACACGTCGCCTGTTATATAAGGCCACACGCGCGCGCCCTGTTGACGTGTCGTCCGTGGTGCTTTGCTGCAACCAAATGCCAACGCTAATCTACGATTAGCACGGTTGGCCTACGTGCGTTCAACGTACGTACACACGGCCATCGCTTAAGCCACGTGCTGCATATCCACAGCTAACCTATCAATACATCCACTGCTGCCACAACTCCTCCGCATTGAAATGTGGTGCCCAAAGTGTTTACAATAACCTACGCCACCATCGCTGGTGATTGTGAGTTGTCGAAGATGGGATGGTGGAGAGAGGATGGAAGTTGGGGGGGGGGGGGAGAGATGGAGAGAGGAACAAGAGCAATCTAAGTTACTGTAAAATGCCACGTGCTTGGCAGAATGGGAAATGAGGGTGAAAATTAATAAGTTACATAACATAGAGCGGACGATGGTGTGTGTTGAAATCTGGAGATTACACGATGATGTATTATCGCCGCTTGACACTGGTGAGAGCAGGTGCCTTCTGCAGGTTCCTTCCGAAAGCAACTAGATTAAAGACACGTCTTCTGGAAGACGAATGTCTCATTTTGGACGATACGACGCATTTTCCGATTGTCGGATTTAAAATACAGCGACAAAAGATGTCCCTTATTAGGTGGAGAATACGGCAAAATGAGAACGGCTTCAGTTACTTTTCGTATTCACGCCACTTATTGCGCTCGGCGATCGCGTTAAAGGGTTGGCAATGCTCCGGTTTTGCGGCTACGCACATGGCGTGTGACGTATGTATGTTGAACTTCTTTCGCACCGTACGTAGCCAACCGTTGCTAATCGCAGGTGCGGGGGGTGGACAACAAACTGAACACAAAAAAGCAGTTCTAAAGAAATGAGTTTTTGCTTTCGATTTAAAGGCGCGTAGCTCCAATGGCTTCCTGATATCGGAAGGAAGAGCGCGTTCCAGACGGCCGCAGAAGCGCATCTGAAAGCGCGCGATGCGGTGGGCTGCCTCTGTTCGACGGGAAGCCAAAAGTCCCTGCTATAAGGATGACATCATCAACATCACCTCGGCCGCAAAGGATTTTCATTTAGAACAGTTGTTTCATGCTTTAATTTACGTACTGCTGTTTTTTTATATATAGTACCATGCATTGAGCAGCCCTGAGTAAACTTACGTGCGACTTGAGTAGCCCGTTGGGTATGACATGAGGGGCACGGCTCGGCTTCTGCAGTGTGAGAAAATAAAAAAAAAACAGCAACCTGGGGTCTCCTTAGCCGTGCCGGGCTGGTTGGGCACGGCCCGGGCACGGTTATGCCAGTGGGAGAGAGAGCTCAGACTGCCCTGGTTAAGAAGGAATAGAGGGCATCATCAGTGTGTGTGTGTAGTGGGTAATTTGTGACAAACTACCTCAGGGCGTGAGGACCTTGCCCTACGCACAGCTGGCCCGGCTGCCAGCGGTCCTCTCACTGCCTCGTGAGTATCTAGGGAGAGTCAAAGTCTAAGGGAGTAAACCCCTACAGAAAATCAGGAGTGGGGCCCCTTGGGCAGTTCTGTGATGCACAGCGGCACATCCCCGGCAGCCCCTGTAGCCAAGCTGGTGCCAAACGTCGTGCTACGCAGTCATTTGGACCTCACCAGCAAGGCCGAGAGGGGGATCCTGACGCATGGGCAACCCAGGATTTCCATAGTAACCTGCCCAGGCTTTGCGCCAACAAGAGATGCAAGAATGAGGAGAGGACACTCTTTGGCCACCTAATCACGGCCAAGAATCACGGTTGGCAGCAGTCACGAGTGATGTGCTCATTTTGGATTGGCGTAAAAAATTGGCGCCACGGGTTCCCATCGTTGGTGGGAGAGGTCATTGCACCCCGATGGATAGCTACCGCCCACCTCAAGCTGGGCAGCCCCCGGCCAATAATGTGCTTTCCCGCCACGGCTCAGCTGCTCCAATGGGTGCTTGGGGCTTATGGTTCATCACCAGACAAGTGGGCTGCAACACCTGCACCAGACAAAAGCAAAACAAAACGAAAGAAGGTTCCAGCCCTTCATTTTGCAAGCTGGAATGTACGTACAGTGTGTCCTGGCCTCTTCGAAGATCTATTGCAGATTGAGGACATCTGCAAGACCGCAGTTATGGACAGGGCGCTGGCTAGACTCCATCTGCATATTGCAGCACTGAAGGAAACCCGACTTGCTGGTAGTGGCTCACTTCTAGAGAGTGACTACACTTCCGACTGTCAAGGCAAACAGCAGAACGAACCAAGGCAACGTTTTGTTTGGTTCACCGTTAAAACACACTCCTTGGCATGATATGACCTCCAACCGCAGGCTTCAAGTGGATTCTGCTCATGAGACCACTTACTGCTTCTGCCCATGTAAACATCCCTAGTATCTACGCCCCAACACTCGACTCACCTCCGGAGATTCACGACCAGTTTCACAATATCATTCCCAAAATCCCCAGCTCTCAGCACATGTTTCTGCTCGGAGACTTCAATGAAAGGGTTGGGGCTGAACACAACGCATGGCCACGGTTGCCTTGGCCATCATGGCATTGGAAAATGAATGCCAGCGGCCAAAGTCTACTGGAGCTCTGCTCTTACCACAATCTCTGTATTATGAAACCCTGACATAAAGTGTCACGGAAACATCCAAGGTCTCTCAATTGGCACCAACTGGAACTCGTCATCACCCGACAAGCCTTCCACAACTCAGTCCTTATCACACGCAGCTCCCACAGTGCATTCTGTGACATCGATCACTCACTGACATTCAGCAAGGTCAGACTCAGCCCCACAAAGATACACAACCTCAAACAAAGGCACGACCCACGCATTAACTCTGCCAAGACCTCCCTCCCAGAGCTCATTCAACCATTCCAACACGGCCTTGAGCAGCTCCTACACGACACACCAGATGGAAGTGTGGAGACAAAGTGGACGTACATCAGAGATGCCATCTTCAATGCAACCATCAATACCTTCGGCAAGCAGACAAGGCAGAACACGGACTGGTTTGAGGAAGACATGGCTTTATTGGAACCGATCCTCCAGACCACAGACCAAGCTTACGGTGCGCCTTAAGTACAAGTAAGCCCCAAGTACAGGATCATTAAGGACTCTGAAAGCTGTCCACAGTGCAGCTCAAACGACCACCAGACGCTCTGCCAACAACTACTGGCTGAACCTCAGCAGTCGGATCCAACTCACCTATGACACTGGCAATGACCATGCCATGCATGAAGGCATCAAGAGAGCCTTTGGTCCAAACCTCAGAAGGACTGCCCCCCTGAAATCCAGCTCAGGGACCACCATCACTGATAAGCAAGAGCAAATGGCCAGGTGGGTAGAGCAGTACTCAGAGCTCTTCTCAGGAGACAACGGAGTATCAGAAGCTGCCCTTGCTGCTGTAAAGCCCCTACCAACCATACACGAACTGGACAATGTTACAACCTTGAAGGATCTTGACAACGCCATCAACTCACTAGCCTGTGGCAAGTCCCTTGGACAGAACGACATCACACCCGAGGTACTGAAATGTGCGAAACCCAGCATCCTAACAAAACTCCACAAACTCCTCTGCCAGTGTTGAGAATAAGGAGCAGTGCCTCAAGACATGAGAGACTCCAACATCACCACCCTATACAAAAACAAGGGTGACCGTGGGGACTGCAATAACTACCGTGGCATCTCCCTGCTGAACATCGTGGGGAAAACATTTGCCCGTGTGGTCCTCAGCAGGTCGCAGATACTAGCTGAGAGGACATATCCTAAGGCACAGTGTGGCTTCAGAGCAGGAAGGTCCACCATTGACATGCTCTTCTCTTTGCATCAGCTACAGGAGAAATGTTGCGAACAGAGAATGCCCCTGTACTTGGCATTTATTAACGTAACAAAGGTCTTTGACCTCGTCAGCAGGGGAGGCCTCTTAAAACTCCTGAAAGTGATTGGCTACCCACCTAAGCTTCTGGCAGTCATCTCCTCTTTCCATGACAGCATCTAAAGAACAATACAGCACAGCGGCACCACCTCAGAGTGATTTCCTATACCCAGCGGTGTTAAGAAGGGGTGCATGCTTGCCCCAACACTGTTTGCCATCTTTTTCTCACTTATGCTCACACATGCCTTTGAGACAGCAGAAGAGGGAGTCTTTCTCCTTTCAAGATCTGATGGCAAACTCTTCAACCTTGGTCGTCTCAGATCCAAAACCAAAGTCCTCATCAGAAAACTCCTATTCGCTGATGA